CACCGTTGCGTTGGTATTGTACATTAATGTCACCGGGTTCGATGTGTGTATCCTGGATGGTTCCATTATTCTTTATACCCCTATCCACCGAGGATTCCATTACTGTTAACATATTTTGTTTCCTCTGTCCATTCATTCCATTATATTTCCTCTTCCATTATTTATTATTTATGTATGGCTTTCCTCCCTGCGTCTGTTCCATTATGCCTTGTGCTGCCACTCCATTCTTTGTTGTTTATGTGCCACTATACCTGCTGGCTGTCGTTCCATTACTGTGCCCATGTATTCCTTTTCCATTATGCGTTGGCCATGTATGCCACTCCTTGGTCGTTCGTGCTGTATTTGTGTCTCCTTTCCATTGTGCTGTGTATTTGGCAATACCTGTCCGTGCGTTGGCTAGTTCCGTTGTGCTGTGTCTTCCGTGCTGTGTGCTGTTCCACGTGTTCTGTGTGTGCGTGTGCTGTGTGTGTCCACGTGCGTGCTGTGTTCGGTCTGTCTCGTGTGTTCGGTTGTGTGTGTCTTGTGTCCATGTGGTGTCTCCTGGTCCTCGGGGTTGTGTCCACTGTGTGTGTCCTCTGTGGTTGTGGGTTGCTGGGGCCTGTGTCGTGGGGTTCCGTGTCGTGGGGCAGTGGTCCTGTGGCCGTTGGTTGTCGTGTGGGGTCGTGTTCCGTGTGTGGTCTTCTGGGTCCTCCTGCTGTGGCCACTGTCCTTGGCCATATTTGTATGACCCTGGGCTGTCCTTGTATTCATGTATGACCTGGAATGGTTGTGTCATTTGTGTGATTCCACATGTCATTGTGATTCATGTTGTGATTCTTTGATTTTCATGTCTATGTATGACCTACACACATGCCTATGTATGACCCTACACTCATGTGTATTTGTATGACCCTACACTCAGACTATGTGTATGACCCTACACACATGCCTATGTAGGACCCTGCACACACATGCCTATGTATGATCCTACTACACTCAGATATTTGTGTGACCCTACACACAGGCCTATGTATGACCCTACACATGCCTATGTATGACCCTACACACTGCCTGCAAAGCAGATGCCCTTTGTATGACTTCCTACACACATGCCTATGTATGACCCTATGTATGACCCTACACACATGCCTATGTATGACCCTACACATGCAGATATTTCTGATATGACCCTACACACAGGCTCCTATGTATGACCCTACACATGCATGTGTGATCCCTATGATATTTGATGACCCTACACACATGCCTATGTATGACCCTCTGTGTGATTGCACTCAGATATTTGTATGACCCTACACACAGGCCTATGTATGACCCTCACACACATGCCTATGTATGTACAGACCTATGTGTCCCTACACTCAGATATTTGTATGACTCCTACACACATGCCCTACACACATAAGTGTATGACCTTACACTCAGATATTTGTATGACCCTACACACATGCCTATGTATGACCCTACACACAGGCCTATGTATGACCCTACACACATGCCTATGTATGACCCTACACACAGGCCTATGTATGACCCTACACACAGGCCTATGTATGACCCTACACACATGCCTATGTATGACCCTACACTCAGATATTTGTATGACCCTACACACAGGGCTATGTATGACCCTACACACATGCCTATGTATGACCCTACACTCAGATATTTGTATGACCCTACACACATGCCTATGTATGACCCTACACACAGGCCTATGTCTGACCCTACACACATGCCTATGTATGACCTTACACTCAGATATTTGTATGACCCTACACACAGGCCTTTGTATGACCCTTTACACACATGCCTATGTATGACCCTACACTCAGATATTTGTATGACCCTACACACAGGCCTATGTATGACCCTACACACATGCCTATGTATGACCTTACACTCAGATATTTGTATGACCCTACACACAGGCCTATGTATGACCCTACACACAGTCCCATGTATGACCTTACACTAGGATATATGTATGACCCTACACACAGACCTATGTATGACCCTACACACAGGCCTATGTATGACCCTACACACAGACCTATGTATGACCCTACATACAGACCTATGTATGACCCTACATACATAACTATGTATGACCCTACACACAGACCTATGTATGACCCTACATACAGACCTATGAATGACCCTACATACAGACCTATGTATGACCCTACACACAGACCTATGTATGACCCTACAAACAGACCTATGTACAACCCTACACACAGGCCTATGTATGACCCTACACACAGACCTATGTATGACCCTACATACAGAATTATGTATGACCCTACACACAGACCTATGTATGACCCTACACACAGACCTATGTATGACCCTACACACAGGCCTATGTATGACCCTACACACGGGCCTATGTATGACCCTACACACGGGCCTATGTATGACCCTACACACGGGCCTATGTATGACCCTACACACATGCCTATGTATGACCCTACACACAGGCCTATGTATGACCCTACACACATGCCTATGTATGACCCTACACACATGCCTATGTATGACCCTAGAATACAGACCTATGTATGACCCTACATACAGACCTATGAAAGACCCTACACACAGGCCTATGTATGACCCTACATACAGACCTATGAATGACCCTACATACAGACCTATGAATGACCCTACATACAGACCTATGTATGACCCTACATACAGACCTATGTATGACCCTACATACAGAACTATGTATGACCCTACATACAGACTCTATGTATGACCCTACATACAGACCTATGAATGACACTACACACATACATGACCCATGTATGACCCTACCCACAGGCCTATGTATGACCCTACATACAGACCTATGTATGACCCTACACACAGACCTATGTATGACCCTACACACAGCCCTATGTATGACCCTACACACAGACCTATGTATGACCCTACATACAGACCTATGTATGACCCTACATACAGACCTATGTATGACCCTACACACAGCCCTATGTATGACCCTACACACAGACCTATGTATGACCCTACATACAGACCTATGTATGACCCTACCCACACGCCTATGTATGACCCTACATACAGACCTATGTATGACCCTACCCACAGGCCTATGTATGACCCTACATACAGACCTATGAATGACCCTACACACAGGCCTATGTATGACCCTACGTACAGACCTATGTATGACCCTACACACTGGCCTATGTATGACCCTACATACAGACCTATGAATGACCCTACACACACGCCTATGTATGACCCTACATACATGCCTATGTATGACCCTACACACAGGCCTATGTATGACCCTACATACAGGCCTATGTATGACCCTACATACAGACCTATGTATGACCCTACATACAGACCTGTGTATGACACTACATACAGACCTATGAATAACCCTACACACAGACCTATGTATGACCCTACACACTTGCCTATGTATTACCCTACATACAGACCTATGAATGACCCTACATACAGACCTGTGTATGACCCTACATACAGACCTATATATGACCCTACACACATGCCTATCTATGACCCTACATACAGACCTATGTATGACCCTACATACAGACCTATGTACGACCCTACATACAGACCTATGTATGACCCTTCCCACAGGCCTATGTATGACCCTAAACACCGACCTATGTATGACCCTACACACAGGCCTATGTATGACCCTACACACAGGCCTATGTATGACCCTACATACATACCTATGTATGACTCTACACACAGGCCTATGTATGACCCTACACACAGGCCTATGTATGACCCTACATACAGACCTATGTATGACTCTACACACAGACCTATGTATGACTCTACATACATACCTATGTATGACTCTACACACAGGCCTATGTATGACCCTACATACAGGCCTATGTATGACCCTACACACAGGCCTATGTATGACCCTACACACAGACCTATGTATGACCCTACACACAGGCCTATGTATGACCCTACACACAGGCCTATGTATGACCCTACACACAGGCCTATGTATGACCCTACATACAGGCCTATGTATGACCCTACACACAGACCTATGTATGACTCTACACACAGGCCTATGTATGACCCTACACACAGACCTATGTATGACCCTACACACAGGCCTATGTATGACCCTACATACAGGCCTATGTATGACCCTACACACAGGCCTATGTATGACCCTTACATACAGGCCTATGTATGACTCTACACACAGACCTATGTATGACCCTACACACAGGCCTATGTATGACCCTACATACAGACCTATGTATGACCCTACATACAGACCTATGTATGACCCTACATACAGACCTATGTATGACTCTACACACAGACCTATGTATGACCCTACATACAGACCTATGTATGACCCTACATACAGACCTATGTATGACCCTACATACAGACCTATGTATGACCCTACATACGGGCCTATGTATGACTCTACACACAGACCTATGTATGACCCTACACACAGGCCTATGTATAACCCTACACACAGGCCTATGTATGACCCTACACACAGGCCTATGTATGACTCTACACACAGACCTATGTATAACCCTACATACAGACCTATGTATAACCCTACATACAGACCTATGAATGACCCTACATACATGCCTATGTATGACCCTACAGCTCTGTATGAATCCAATGTATTCTATAGAAAGAGACCAATACCTTAATATGCATGTGTTAACTAGTAGCCGACCGCCTTTGTGGTGTAGTGGTTAGAGCGTCCGCCCGGAGAGCGGTAGGTCCCGGGTTCGTTCCCCGGCTGCGTCAAAACAACAGCCGTTAAAATATAGCACTATAAAACCAGCTTAAGTCTGGGTTAGCACAAGCAGCCACACACACACACGCACGCAGGTCGTCATATGAGCTAAACAGTCCTAAGTGCCAAGTTAAACCACATATCACCATCAACTATTTTAGCATATGAGACTACACATGAACTGTGTCTGCAGGCCAAGATCAACCTTCACTACGATGCTGATGTACCAATCGTGGTCGCTGTTGCCAACACGTCTGTAGGAACGAGGAAACGTGTGCTGACAGCCATACAGGACTTCAGACATGTAAGTAGCACTGCTATAAGGTCGGTCTGCAACAGCAATAATACCAGGAGTGTCAGCTTAGTGTGATACAGGACTTCAGACATGTAACTAGCACTGCAATAGGGTGGGTCAGCAACAGCAATAATACAGGAGTGTCAGCTTAGTGTGATACAGGACTTCAGACATGTAAGTAGCACTACTATAGGGTGGGTCAGCAACAGCAATAATACCAGGAGAGTCAGCTTAGTGTGATACAGGACTTCAGACATGTAAGTAGCACTGCTATATGTTGGGTTAGCAACAGCAATAATACAGGAGTGTCAGCTTAGTGTGATGCAGGACTTCAGACATGTATGTAGCACTACTATAGGGTGGGTCAGCAACAGCAATAATACCAGGAGAGTGAGCTTAGTGTGATACAGGACTTCAGACATTTAGGTAGCACTGCTCTAGGGTGGGTCTGCAACAGCAATAATACCAGGAGTGTCAGCTTAATGTAATACAGGACTTCAGACATGTAAGTAGCACTGCTATAGGGTGGGTCAGCAACAGCAATAATAACAGGAGTGTCAGCTTAGTGTGATACAGGACTTCAGACATGTAAGTAGCACTGCTATAGGATGGGTCAGCAACAGCAATAATACAGGAGTGTCAGCTTAGTGTGATACAGGAGTTCAGACATGTAAGTAGCACTGCTATATGGTGGGTTAGCAACAGCAATAATACCAGGATTGTCAGCTTAGTGTGATACAGGACTTCAGACATGTAAGTAGCACTGCTATATGGTGGGTTAGCAACAGCAATAATACAGGAGTGTCAGCTTAGTGTGATACAGGACTTCAGACATGTAAGTAGAACTACTACAGGGTGGGTCAGCAACAGCAATAATACCAGGAGTGTCACCTTAGTGTGATACAGGACTTCAGACATGTAAGTAGCACTGCAATGGGGTGGGTCAGCAACAGCAATAAAACAGGAGCGTCAGCTTAGTGTGATACACGACTTCAGACATGTAAGTAGCACTGCTTTAGGGTGGGTTAGCAACAGCAATAATACAGGAGTGTCAGCTTAATGTGATACAGGACTTCAGACATGTAAGTAGCACTACTATAGGGTGGGTCAGCAACAGCAATAATACCAGGATTGTCAGCTTAGTGTGATACAGGACTTCAGACATGTAAGTAGCACTACTATAGGGTGGGTCAGCAACAGCAATAATACCAGGATTGTCAGCTTAGTGTGATACAGGACTTCAGACATGTAAGTAGCACTACTATAGGGTGGGTCAGCAACAGCAATAATATAGGAGTGTCAGCTTAGTGTGATACAGGACTTCAGACATGTAAGTAGCACTGCTATATGGTGGGTTAGCAACAGCAATAATACAGGACTGTCAGCTTAGTGTGATACAGGACTTCAGACATGTAAGTAGCACTACTATAGGGTGGGTCAGCAACAGCAATAATACCAGGATTGTCAGCTTAGTGTGATACAGGACTTCAGACATGTAAGTAGCACTGCTACAGGGTCGGTCAGGAAAAGCAATAATAACAGGATTGTCAGCTTAGTGTGATACAGGACTTCAGACATGTAAGTAACACTGCTATAGGATGGGTCAGCAAAAGCAATAATACCAGGAGAGTCAGCTTAGTGTGCTACAGGACTTCAGACATGTATGTAGCACTGCAATAGGTCGGGTCAGCAACAGCAATAATACAGGAGTGTCAGCTTAGTGTGATACTGGATTTCAGACATGTAAGTAGCACTGGTATATGGTGGGCCAGCAACAGCAATAATACCAGGAGTGTCAGCTTAGTGTGATACAGGACTTCAGACATGTAAGTAGCACTGCTATAGGTCGGGTCAGCAACAGCAATTATACAGGAGTGTCAGCTTAGTGTGATACAGGACTTCAGACATGTAAGTAGCACTCCTTTAGGGTCGGCCAGCAACAGCAATAATACCAGGAGTGTCACCTTAGTGTGATGCAAGACTTCAGACATGTCAGTAAAACTGCTATAAGGTCGGTCTGCAACAGCAATAATACCAGGAACGTCAGCTTAGTGTGATGCAGGACTTCAGACATGTAAGTAGAACTGCTATAGGGTGGGTCAGCAACAGCAATAATAACAGGAGCGTCACCTTAGTGTGATACAGGACTTCAGACATGTAAGTAGCACTGCTACATGGTCGGTCAGCAACAGCAATAATACCAGGAGTGTCACCTTAGTGTGATACAGGACTTCAGACATGTAAGTAGCACTGCTATAGGGTGGGTCAACAAAAGCAATAAAACAGGAGTGTCAGCTTAGTGTGATACAGGACTTCAGACATGTAAGTAGCACTGCAATGGGGTGGGTCAGCAACAGCAATAATACAGGAGTGTCAGCTTAGTGTGATACAGGACTTCAGACATGTAAGTAGCACTGCTATAGGGTCGGTCAGCAACAGCAATAATACCAGGAGAGTCACATTAGTGTAATACAGGACTTCAGACATGTAAGTAGCACTGCTATAGGGTGGGTCAGCAAAAGCAATAATACAGGAGTGTCAGCTTAGTGTGATACAGGACTTCAGACATGTAAGTAGCACTGCTATAGGGTGGGTCAGCAACAGCAATAATACAGGAGTGTCAGCTTAGTGTGATACAGGAGTTCAGACATGTAAGTAGCACTGCTATATGGTGGGTTAGCAACAGCAATAATACAGGATTGTCAGCTTAGTGTGATACAGGACTTCAGACATGTAAGTAGCACTGCTATATGGTGGGTTAGCAACAGCAATAATACAGGAGTGTCAGCTTAGTGTGATACAGGACTTCAGACATGTAAGTAGAACTACTACAGGGTGGGTCAGCAACAGCAATAATACCAGGAGTGTCACCTTAGTGTGATACAGGACTTCAGACATGTAAGTAGCACTGCAATGGGGTGGGTCAGCAACAGCAATAAAACAGGAGCGTCAGCTTAGTGTGATACACGACTTCAGACATGTAAGTAGAACTGCTTTAGGGTGGGTTAGCAACAGCAATAATACAGGAGTGTCAGCTTAATGTGATACAGGACTTCAGACATGTAAGTAGCACTACTATAGGGTGGGTCAGCAACAGCAATAATACCAGGATTGTCAGCTTAGTGTGATACAGGACTTCAGACATGTAAGTAGCACTACTATAGGGTGGGTCAGCAACAGCAATAATACCAGGATTGTCAGCTTAGTGTGATACAGGACTTCAGACATGTAAGTAGCACTACTATAGGGTGGGTCAGCAACAGCAATAATATAGGAGTGTCAGCTTAGTGTGATACAGGACTTCAGACATGTAAGTAGCACTGCTATATGGTGGGTTAGCAACAGCAATAATACAGGACTGTCAGCTTAGTGTGATACAGGACTTCAGACATGTAAGTAGCACTACTATAGGGTGGGTCAGCAACAGCAATAATACCAGGATTGTCAGCTTAGTGTGATACAGGACTTCAGACATGTAAGTAGCACTGCTATATGGTGGGTTAGCAACAGCAATAATACAGGAGTGTCAGCTTAGTGTGATACAGGACTTCAGACATGTAAGTAGAACTACTACAGGGTGGGTCAGCAACAGCAATAATACCAGGAGTGTCACCTTAGTGTGATACAGGACTTCAGACATGTAAGTAGCACTGCAATGGGGTGGGTCAGCAACAGCAATAAAACAGGAGCGTCAGCTTAGTGTGATACACGACTTCAGACATGTAAGTAGCACTGCTTTAGGGTGGGTTAGCAACAGCAATAATACAGGAGTGTCAGCTTAATGTGATACAGGACTTCAGACATGTAAGTAGCACTACTATAGGGTGGGTCAGCAACAGCAATAATACCAGGATTGTCAGCTTAGTGTGATACAGGACTTCAGACATGTAAGTAGCACTACTATAGGGTGGGTCAGCAACAGCAATAATACCAGGATTGTCAGCTTAGTGTGATACAGGACTTCAGACATGTAAATAGCACTACTATAGGGTGGGTCAGCAACAGCAATAATACAGGAGTGTCAGCTTAGTGTGATACAGGACTTCAGACATGTAAGTAGCACTGCTATATGGTGGGTTAGCAACAGCAATAATACAGGACTGTCAGCTTAGTGTGATACAGGACTTCAGACATGTAAGTAGCACTACTATAGGGTGGGTCAGCAACAGCAATAATACCAGGATTGTCAGCTTAGTGTGATACAGGACTTCAGACATGTAAGTAGCACTGCTACAGGGTCGGTCAGGAAAAGCAATAATAACAGGATTGTCAGCTTAGTGTGATACAGGACTTCAGACATGTAAGTAACACTGCTATAGGATGGGTCAGCAAAAGCAATAGCAATAATACCAGGAGAGTCAGCTTAGTGTGCTACAGGACTTCAGACATGTATGTAGCACTGCTATAGGTCGGGTCAGCAACAGCAATAATACAGGAGTGTCAGCTTAGTGTGATACTGGATTTCAGACATGTAAGTAGCACTGGTATATGGTGGGACAGCAACAGCAATAATACCAGGAGTGTCAGCTTAGTGTGATACAGGACTTCAGACATGTAAGTAGCACTGCTATAGGTCGGGTCAGCAACAGCAATTAATACAGGAGTGTCAGCTTAGTGTGATACAGGACTTCAGACATGTAAGTAGCACTGCTATATGGTGGATCAGCAACAGCAATAATACCAGGAGCGTCACCTTAGTGTGATACAGGACTTCAGACATGTAAGTAACACTGCTATTGGGTGGGTCAGCAACAGCAATAATAACAGGAGCGTCACCTTAGTGTGATACAGGACTTCAGACATGTAAGTAGCACTGCTACAGGGTCGGTCAGCAACAGCAATAATACCAGGAGCGTCAGCTTAGTGTGATGCTGGACTTCAGACATGTAAGTAGCACTGCTACAGGGTCGGTCAGCAAAAGCAATAATACAAGGAGTGTCACCTTAGTGTGATACAGGACTTCAGACATGTAAGTAGCACTGCAATGGGGTGGGTCAGCAACAGCAATA